CAAAGATCGGAGCCCGGGAAAGCCGAAGAGTCTCGACCATTTTCACGACGATAGAACCCCCTTCACGAAAAACCAAGCCCAAATCCGAGACAAGGAGATCGAGGCGGATCTCTAGGTAAAATTCGATGGCCAACGACGACGCGACGACTGGCGGCATCCAAACGGCTGGCGAGAGGCCTGCTTTCTAGAGAGAAGTGATAGCTTCTCTCTCTAAAAACTAAAAAAAACAAAATGAAGAAAATTTAAAAAAGTTTGTATTTATAGAAAATTTTAGGGGGAAATTGCTCTTAGGTCCCCAAAAATTATGTTTGTTTTTGCAAAATGATCATATGTAGGGATTGATTTTATAATTTACCTATTTCTTATGCATATTATATATTTTTGGTTTAATTATTGTTTAGTCCCCATAACTTTAGCGTGTTTTTGCATATTAGTCACCTGTAGCGATTGTTTTTGTAATTTACCCACTTTTATGCATGTTATATATTTTTAAAGTTATTTTTTGTTTAGTACTTGTATATTTATGCGTGTTTTACATTTTGGTCATATGTAGTAACTGTTTAATTTTTTTTAAATACTTATGGACTGATTTAGTGATTTTCCCTTTTTTTTTATTTGAATGTATATTTTATGGACTGATTTAGTGATTTTCCCCATACTTATGCATGTTTATATTTTGAATCAGAATCTATCTTTTAATTTATTTTAATTTGGCCATGCAATTTTAGTTTATTTTAATTTAGTCCCCATGTTTTATTTATTTTTATTATTTGTAATTTTAGCACCCAATATTAAGCATGCTCATTTTAGTCACTTTTATACTTTATTTTATTTTTGACATGATGGTTTGATTATTTATGTTTTAGTCTCTTTCTGTTGGTTATCTTATTTTTATGATTATTTTAATTTGAGTGTCTTACTTTAATAATTTCCATTTTGGTCCTGAATTATTGAAGCTGGTTTATTTACGATTGCAATGCCTAGTTTGTAAAATATTTGCAATGGTTGCCTTGATCTCTTGTTAGTTTTGTAGTTTAATCCCTAAAGTCACAATCTTTATTATTTTGATCCATCATTTACATATTTGTTAATTTTCTGCTAGTTGTAATATTTTCAAATATTATTTTGTATGGGGAATTCATGAAAATGTCTCCTTAACTGACAAGGAATGTATTTTCGAGAATTGTTCTTGCAAAAATAATACCCTTATATTTTTTTCTAAAATGATCATAATTTAAATGTATATTATTTGTAAATTTCAATATTTAGATGAAGTATAATCGCTTAGTTACCGATATTGAGCGTTGTGGGGGTGCTAATCATTCCCCTGAGTAATCGACTCCCGAACCCTTTTTCAAAACAAATTTCTCTTAAACGCGGACCATTTTTTATCTTTTAAAATTATTTTTTCTTAAAATTGTTTTAAATGATATTTTTAGGTATTCGACCTACTTAATCCAAAGGTCGATATCGACTCCAAATTTGTTTATTTATGCATTTATTTTAAAACTCAACCATTTCTCTTAATTTGTTTTCTTTTCCTCTCCTCATGTCATCTCTTCGCATTCAAACATTTGAATGTTAATAATTTTTAACTTCATTTCTTGTTTCTTTATCTATATTATCAGATATTATCCTTTTCTAAAAGTTTTCTTCTTCTTTTTCTTTTGTTCGAAGAAAAATCTAAACTTTCAGACTTATTATATCCAAAGGTTTGGATTTTCTAATTTATCAGTTCTTTTGAGTTTTTTTTTCCTTTTCATTTTTTTCTTTTTATCTATATTTTTATAATATATGCTTTTGTTTATTATTTCCTTTTTCTTTGAGTATATATTGTAAAAAATTGATTAAATTTTATAGTATTCGCTTTAAGTTCTAAAAACTCAGTTTAATATATATTTTTACATATGAAGAAGAGAAAATTGAAGACTTTAGGGTAGATGTTTAGCTAAATTAAAAACTTAAAATCTTTAATGTTTAGGGATTTAGCTTAGATTTGTAATTTTTGATGAATTGGTAGTAAAAAATTGATAAACAATGATGTTAACAATTTTCTATATTTTTTTTGAATTTTTTATTTTATTTTCAGTAATATATACCGGATTGTGTCAAGTTAAAATCGAATTTATGTTTTATTTTCGGAATTAGAGTCGGGTTGAATTAAATAATAAAAAAATTAAAATCGAATTATGATTTTACTTTATAGGGTTAGAACCGGATCATACAAAATCTAATGCAACCGATTGTCATCCCTAATGTATGACGGCAACTTAGAAATGGAGGGGATTATGGACTATATTGAAGGAAATTTTGAGTTATGGTATCCTGATAAACAAGTATTAAGGGGGAAAGGTGGGCTCAGAGCATGAGAAAATTGGGCCGCACAACTCGCAGGCGGAAGTGATTAGATATATAACATAGTTAAAAATGAAGGTCCAAGCAATCATCTGAGATTATCCCACAAATATTTTATACGGTAAAGCCTTTGAAACATAAAAAGAAGAGAGGACGCCCGAACAAGAATAAACAAGCGGGTGATCGCGTTGCATATTGGTCCCCGTTAAAGTCCAACTTTTAGAACTATAAAAGATTAATCCTCTAAGAAATAAATGAGACTTTACACCTTAACAACTAATCAGATTGAAAATTATTGTTAATAAATACACTATCGTTAATGATGTTATTAAAACTATTAAAGAGCAAAAAAAAAATCGATGAATTAAGACAATAAGAGTGCTTTTGCTAAAATATTTGCCCCCTTTTTTAAATAAACAAGGGAAAGCCAAAGGCCCTGGATGCTCGTAGGGATGTAAATGGGTTAACTCGAGCTTGAGTATTATTAAACTTGACTCGATTCAAAAAGTTTAAAGTCGAGTTTGATTCAACTCGAAAGTTCGCGAGCTTGAAATTATCAAGTTTGATTCGAACTCGAAATAAAAAACTGAAACTCGACTCGACTCTAAAGCTCACTAATTTAAATTTTTTAAGCTCAAAATATTTTCAGGTTTAGTTCAATTGAAGCTCAAATTCAAGCTCGGTTAAACCTTAAACTAAAATTCAAATTTGAATCTAAAGTACATGACAACCTTTATCATTGACGTCACTTGATTCATGCTTTATTCCGTTAAAAATTAGATGCTCAAAATTTTAATTATTTAAAAATAGGGTAAAGAACGCAAACGGTCTCCCGATTATAGGTATTGCTTTATTAAGTACATCGACTATGAAAAGTTATAAAATTGTCATTTGACTATGGAGTGTTGTATTGTTGAGTGACTCAACAATTAAAAGTTACAAAATGGTCACCTTACATTCATTATGTTCCAGACTCTTCCTATTTCGTTAAAAAATTGATAGTTGTTTAAGGTCCCGTTTGGTGTGGCTTTTAAACGCACTTTTAGCTAAAAAGCCCGTTTTGACCACAAAATTAATGCCAAATGGGTAAAAGATGAACAAATTTTGCAATGAAAACGGTGGTTTCAAACCAACCGAAAAAGCTAGGATTTGTAGCTTTTTTATTTTCAACTTTACGATTGGGAGCAAATTATAATTTTACCTTTATTAATGCGTGGGTTCTACTCAATTATGTATTTACATTTTACTTTAATAATTTAATATTAACAACCTTAAAAAATAAATTATTACTCAATAAATTATTTTAATTATTTTAAAGTAAATAATATTCATATTTTGTATATTAAAATATTAATAATGAGTTATTATAAAATATGATTTTATTATAATTATAATTAATTATATTATAATTATAATTTTTATATTTTATTATGGTTTAAGTGATATGTTTTATATATCATAGTATTAGTAAGTTTTAATATAATTTAAATTTTTTATTTTTAATTTACAACATAATGTCTATAATAGACATTTTATTTTTTCAAACTCATTTTTTAACAATAATCCCAAACGGTTAAATTTTAAATTGTATTTCTAAACAACACTTTTAAAAATTATTTTTTACCGCACTTTTAAAAGTCACTTTTCAAAAGACATGCCAAACTGATCCTAGTTGGATGTTAACTGAAATATGATAGCCGTTTGAGATTTTGTAATCAATTTTTATCATATCACAACTAACAAGTTAATGTTCAGCTCAGAATATCATTCATTTTCAACTGAAAAGAATGAGTTCGAAACATAATGAATAATTATGTGACTATTTGGTAACTTTTAATAGTTGAGGGACTCAATAAGAAACACTTTATAATCAAAGGATCATTTTTATAATTTTTAATAGTTGAAAGACTTAATAAAATAATATTCTATAGTCGGGGACCATTTGCGTTCTTTATCCTTAAAAATAAAAATATTTTACTTGAAAAATGTAATAATAAAATAACCAAAATATAACTTTTTGATAATTATTTAGTACATTAATTACTTCAAGACAATCAAATTCAATAATGATCTAATCATAGTTCAAAAATTTTAAATATTTTAAGGCTTGCTTTTGGACATTATTTCTCTGGTAAGATTCAATTTTTAGAAGTGTATTTTTTAATTATTTATTTAAAGATTATATAAAAGATAAAAATATTTTTACGAAAATACTAGTTATAAAATTTTAATAAATTTGATAGTAGATTAATTTGTGACTTTTTTTATTGCCTTTGATTTCAAATTTTTGTTCTAATTAATTTGGATACATTCACGTCGTATAGATATACACTTTTTAATAGGTAAATTAAAGATTTTTTACATATACAAAGACTAAATCCTGAGATCTTGCATAGGCATGTCAAATTGTTTAACTTTTAACCATTCCGATTAATTTGTGAATTTAAATTCAGTTAAAATTTAATTTTTAATATAGATATAAATGGATAAATAATATTTATCATTGACTCTTTTCGCATTTTGTAGGAGTTAACGTCTTTAAGGACATTTAATCTAATTTATATATAAAAAGGGGGTGGGGCGTGGGGGAAAAAATAATATTTATTATTTAAGCTTTGGCCTTCAGCCTTCAGCCTTCAGCCTTCAGCCTCCAACCGATTCCTTTTCTTTTAGGCCTTTGGATTTACAAAAACCTCAAATCTTCACATCCACAACCAGCCGCAGCGGATTTCCCTACCTACCGCCGCGCGTCGCCGCCACTGGCGCTTCCGTTTCTTTTTGTTTTCCTCTCTCATATTCTCGCTTTTCACAGCTTTGTGACTATAACTCCAACACCCCAGCTTGGTAATTTCTTTGGAGAATTATGAAATTCTAGGGTTGTAAAATTTTCTTGCTAAGTTTTTTTTCTCACTTTTATTTTCCGAAAAGCTTCTGAGTAACCAAAATCAATGGTTTGTTTGTTTTCAGGAGAATAATATTTCAGGCTCTCATCCCTAAAATCGCTGGTTAGTTTTTCTTTTTCTCTCCCCCATCCATAAATGAGCCATTGAGATCTGAAAAGGAAAAATGTTTATAGTCGTCGGTATGTAAAACAAACAACGAAAGAAATTTCATAGGTTTTTTGTTTTCTTTTTCTTTAGTTTAGTTAGATTTAGAAGTACATTAATGAAGGATATAAATAATTTTTGCTAGGATGTGAAGTGATCTGGGAACTGACATAATTTTTAGCTTTATTTGGTACTAAATTAATCTGGTTGTTGTCTCTTTATCATTCTTCACTTGATGGGATTGGTTACCTTTACTACTTTCATGTGTGGAGTTCTGCTTCTCAATTTTGCAGAGTATAATTGTTTAGGAAAATTGGTTTATATTATATTGGTTTTATAGACTTACTGGTTTACTTGTTTTCTCTGTCAGTGCACGATTAAGTTAGCTATTAATTTTTTCATGTTTCCTATGCTGCAATATTCCCTCGCCTGCAAGAAGAAACTTGGATATGTCATTTTTTTAAATTTCAGGGGATTGGAATTTGATTTTAGTTCTTATGGGTGTTTTGATATTTGTTCTTGTAGTGTGAGTTGATTCTATCCAAGTCTAATTTAGTGGATTATGAGTGAAAGGTTAGTAGTGCAAAAACTAGATTTGGTAATTTTGTTTAACCTTTAAGCTTTATGGGGTTTCTTTTTCGTTTATAGCATATTTTATTGCTTTTCTGTTATATTTAAGAGAGTAAATTGAATCACCTTTTTGAAGAGAAAAAAAAAACAATTCACTCCTGATTTTGAATTATATGTTTCATGATTACATATTATGTATCAATTTTAAGAATAAAATAATAAAAAGGCCTAGAACTCTTCCTCTAATAAAAACTGTTCTAAAGATGAAAAACACATAAATGGGTCCGAAGCACTGAAAAGAATATATCTTGTGATTCATTACATTGTAGTTTACTAATGAGGGTTCATGTTATATGCAGTAATGCAATTGTAGAAGGGCAGGATTTAATTACACTTCCTGCATCTAGTAATTTTATGTCTGGAAGTGAGAGTGGTGAACTTCGGGATGTGGATGATGGACCCCATCAAATAGATTCTCAATCTAATAATATTGAGTTTGAACATGGCGAAGTGAAAGCTGAGATCCTGGAGCTGAATGAAGGGGGTATTAGAAACGCTCAGAACCTTTTAAGTGTGGAAGCAAAGGTAGACAACACTCTTACAGGCAATTCATCCGATATGGAAATAAGTGATGAAGAAACTGAAACTCTTAGAGCTGAAAAGAAATTGGATGATGTTAGCTCCGGAGCTCATTCTATATATTTTACGGTTGAAGAGAAATCGGGTGTCTCTTCAGTGTCTACCAAAAAGCGGTGTCTTGATGTCCATAATGGAAGTCCCATCCAGAACCACACAATGGATGGTATTTGTATCCTGCTTCTCCGTTATCGTAGTTTTCTTTATTATGTATTCGCTGACTCTGGCTTAAGAACTTTGCTTCTGCAATTGTATGTTTCATAAGCTCAATTCCATATGACAGAAGTAAATATATCTCTAGAGTCTATGGTATGATTGTTTTTGTTTTCCATAATTCAATGTGCCAGCTATATCTGGTGTTAAGAGACCAAGGATGACATTTGATGCCCAGCAACCTTCTATTCGTATTGTGTATAATTTCTTAACAAGGTTAGGACTGGAGACAAATTCTGAAAATCAATGAATGTAAACTTCACGTTTTTATTCCTTTTGTTGAAGTTTAGTCTTGTTTAATAGACTGAAGTAGGACTTGTTAAGATAAATAGCAACTTGCATTCTTTTTAGTTATATTCCATATTATTATCTCCTACATTTTTCCAGAGCTAGTAAGCAGAAGCTTGAGGAACTTTTACAGAAGTGGTCAGAGTGGCAAGCTGAACATGGTTCATCATTGCAAGTATGTCTGGTTGAATTTTTGGTTTTCAGTATTCTACCTCTATTCATCACTGATTAAATCCATTTTCAAGAGGGTAGAGCATTGGCTTACCTTTCTTTATCTTGCATGATTTGTAATACCCTATCAACAGGTTGTATATTGTCGTTTTCACCTTGAGGATATCGTATACTTTGATGTTTGAGAATCTAATGGCAATTACTTTTTTACAGTACCTATATTTTAGATTGAATTAGGTATCCTTGTGGAATTGTGGAGTTCATTCGGAGCATCTAGTCCTTCTAAGAATGTTCTCTTGTAAGATAGATTTTTGAATTTATTCTTAAATGGTAACTTCCAAAGAGATATTATGTCTGAACCTCTCTCTCGAACCGAAAGATTTGTTATAGATGGATGGTCATGCATATTTTGTTTGATTGTATCTGTGTGTTTGGATGAGTATATTGATAGGTGTACTTGTAAAGAAATATACATGTGCATATGTAGATGGATCAATGTATGCGCATGTGGGTGCATAAGCACAGATGTGTATGCATCTGTCCTTTATATTGTTATGTATTGCAGTTTTTCTTATGCTTAACATTAAGCGTAACTAAATGTAATTCAATCTGGTCAGGAAAATGAACCTACGGAATCAGGAGAAGAGACATACTTTCCTGCTCTACGCGTCGGTGCAGAGATGCCCTCATCTGTGGTAAGCCTGTCTCCAGTCCTCTAGGCATTATGTTTTGAACTGATTTAGATCTTTGTAGTTGTAATGTTTTTTTGTAGAGGTACGGTTTTGTACCTTTTAACATTTTCTTTTCAATTAATGCCATTAGTGATCTGTTATATTGTGTAGTAATTTTTTCATTATAAGAATTCTCAATCGTGAGTAAATTTGTTCTTGTATTGAAAAAACTCGTTCAATTATTTACTCTCTAAATGGATTTGAATTGCAACTCTTACCATTCCTCCTTTAAAAATTGTAAATTTTATGCATGTTAAAGTTTCTCAGTCTGTCTTTCTGTTGCAAAAGGGCTCATGGTGCAAGTAGAGTTTAGTGTATTTTATCAATATTTTAGTTTGATTTTTGTTATTGGATTTGTAGTCATTCTGGATTGACAACCAAACAAGGAATCTGCATGATCCGGACTTCATCCCATTGGACAGTAAAGTTGTGCCACTTTACGATCGTGGGTTTGCAATGGGTTTGACTTCAACTGATGCTTCAAGTAACTTGGAAGGGTAAATATCATCTGTGATTTTGTAAATATTGTTTGCCATGTAAATTGATGCTGACATGCAAGTTTGTTATAAACCTTTAGGGCCTATTTTATGTCCTTGAACAACCCACCAAAAAGGAAGATAAGAATAATTATGTCCGATAAGTAGCAGTGGTAGGTTGATTGCTAAATCTGTTAATGTGCCAGTCACCAGTCGGAATTATCAAAAGCGAAATATATGTCATAGTAAGGAGATCTTTTCTTGCCAATCAATTCTATTAAACCCCTGAAGAAAAAGTCTACTAGTTTGGTAGATATAACTGTAAGCATGGTGCATCTTGTGTCCTGTATGGCTCTTGTCTGTCTTCTTACCTATTTGTGTTTCATGTTGCAGGGGCCTGGAGTTAAAAGAGGAGGCTTCCCGTTGTTTCAACTGTGGTTCTTATAGTCATTCCCTGAAGCAATGCCCAAAGCCTCGTGATAGTGTTGCTGTCAACAATGCTCGAAAGCAACACCAAAAGTCCAAGCGTAATCAGAATGCTGCTTCTCGCAATGCAATTCGCTATTATCAGAGCACTCAAGGTGGAAAGTATGATGATCTAAAGCCTGGTGTTCTTGGTGCTGAAACACGAGAACTATTAGGCCTTGGGGTAATATTCTCCTCCAATTCCATAACAACCCTCCCTGCTCCCTTCTTTTTGTGGTACCTAATGATACACCCAAATATATTGCATGGAAATCAACTAGATTTTGCATACAGTGCTAAAGTTCTCAGTCATCATATATTTGTAAATTGAAGCCTTCAATCAAAGAACCAGCATCCTATTCCAAAAGTTTTATGTTTTCATTTAGTTTTATTTCCTGAATTGTATAATGAACCCTAGTGGCAAGCATGTCCACTCCTTTAATTGGCGCCAATTATAGCTGACGAATGCATTCTGCCTTCTTCTTTTGTTCGCAATGGCTATGGACCAATGACTTATTCTGCACGGTTAATGATACAGTTTCATTTTGTTCATTATGAGCACGGATGATTGACTTATTCAAGTCACAAAGCAGTAAGAAATGTGGTCATTTTTAAGTTGTTGAAGTCTTATTTGGCTGTTATCGATGCATACTAAAGTCAATGGAAAAAGAAAGGCAGTCCCGATTCCGTCATTATCTATGGATGGATATATTAACAAGAAACATATGTTAATTCCTTGTTTTTTCTCCTTCCACAGGAGTTCGATCCACCACCGTGGCTTAACAGAATGCGAGAAATTGGGTACCCACCGGGATATCTAAGTAACTAAACACTTCTCAACTGAGTCTCAATTTTATTTTAGTTATTGCATTGAAACATTTTTGGTAAATAATCACGATTGGAAGAAATTGCAGTCTGCCATCTCTGAAGGGCCATGCCATTTGCCCCAATCCCTCAACTATTTTGGTCGTCTGTAATATTCACAGAACAGATTAAGTGTTGACCAGTGAACTATTGTCAGTTAGTTGCTGCAAATAATTGGAGCAATAATGTCATAAGGCCTCCGCAACTTAATCAAGAAATGCATGAAGACAAATCTTATTGATTCCTGGCCGCAAATAAAAATGGCTTCCCCTTTTAGCTCTTAAATTCTATCTTCTGATCTCAAACCACCGTGTCTAAGATTGAAACATGATTGGACAGTTTAAATTGTGTGTTAGCCTGCTTAAACGTCATATGTTATTTTCTCATACATAAAATTCACTACCTCTAAATTTTCAGTACCCGAAGATGAGGATGAGCCATCTGGAATTACAATATACGCTGATGCAGAAACTGAGGGACACGAAGATGGGGAAATTGCAGAGATGGTGCAGCCTCAACCAAGGATGAAAATGACGGTTGAATTTCCAGGAATAAATGCATCGATCCCTGCAGAGGCCGATGAAAAACTTTGGGCTCCTGGTCATTCAAGTTCTGAATCGATTAGGAGTAGGCCACAGTCACACTATAGGTTAAACCATTCTTCTGAACCTGGCAGCAGGGGGCTCGAACGAAGGTACTATGATGATTATGAAGATGATGGCCCACCAGGAGTTGACACTAGAGTTAGCTCATCCTTTCTCCCTAGGTATGGTAATCATGATTCTGCTTACAATTTTCAAAGTCCAAGACAGCCATTTTCAGGTCAGAGAAGCCCAACCTCGGGAAGGTACTATTATGATAGGGGTAGAAGGAGCCCCTTGATATATGAAGATTTTGCTAGTCATGGTTTCTATAGTTCTTCAAGACATTCACCAAGGTCTCATGGTTCAGCTAGATATGAAAATGAGATTGATGATCGATTGGATAACAGCCACCAGGAACATTCATCTCGGTCTAGTCATCGATATCACAGCCGATGGTGAACAGCTTTGTTGTAACTTTTGACTTTTGTCGCATCTTATAAGGCCGTAACTTGTAAAGGGTTCTAGATACAGTGATACTTTTAGCACCAGAAAAGTGGGAGGATTATTGTACAATGATATAGACAGGCCTTAGATGGATTTAATGGTTTCTTTACCTTGGATGTATTCTTGTTGAATTTACTATTTTGTTGTCTAAATAAGACCTGAGTTTTGGACGCAGTTTATCCGATACTTGAAATCATTTATATCTGTGCTTATTGTACAACCTTAGAAAATATCAATATTCTCGTTTTATATACCAATGTGCATCAAACACAAATTTGAGATCACACCAGACAGCAGTCGTCCTAATCCTTCATGCCGTTATTCCTGGTGGAAGTTCAATACCGTAGTTGTCCAACGAGGTTAGAGTCTAACCAACTTACAAGCAAAACCAAGACAAGAGGTTACTTTCCCTTGGAAATTAGCTGTCTTCCAAGTAAGAATAGACTGATGGTGGTAAAAACAGACAAGATCGTGGACGAATAGAAAAGTGCGAGTAGTGCTCACCTTAATGACTGCATCACAGAGTTTCGAGTTTTAGTATCTAGCAATGGGTTAACAGTTATAAGTTTCATGTAATCCGAGGTTGTGGTTTTTAAGAACCTTAGCTAGAAGCAGAGCATTGTCATTTGCATATTCCACTGAACTCTCCGGAACGCTTTAGATGCCCTGTGCTATTTGCCACGAAAGAATCCTGGATTTTCAGTACTTAGAGCAGTTATTTTAACGTTCTTTTAGAATTTGTTTTGTAGAAATCACAGTGCACATGAGATGTGTACCCGAAAACGAAACCTATTGCAGCTCCAATGTTAGCTTTCTCCGCTGTTACCTCAAGCTGAAGTTCTCCGAACTACAAGTGGTAAAAGCTGCTCAGTGATTTAGACCCATGAAATTGAATATACGTCCTGGAACAGGTGGAGAAATTGAGAATATCCACACCCACAGACCGGATATGCAATGGGTTGCTTCATTCCACCTTATTTTTCCTTTTCCACCATCAAACTTTCTCTGTGATTTTTGTTTTCTGCCGCTTATGGGAAGAGAAAGAGAAAGACATGATTTAGGTATAGGTTAGCAAATTAAGATTTTATATCAAAATAAATTATTATTAAAAATGCCAACATGAGATCCTACTTAGATTAAATTACTTTAATGAAATGGTCCATATCATCCCTATTACGGTAAGCAGATGTCATATCAATGTCCCGTTAATGATTTAATGACGGTGTGTCATAATTGGAGTTAAATATTAACGTCAGTGATAAAATTAGCAAAATTGAAATGTCAGTGGTATTTTTGAGCCCTTGCTTAAAAGTGAGTGATATTTGAAGTAGTTACACTTTTAAAAATAAAATTTAAAAAATAAAATTTTTAAAATTATATAATGTGATACGTATCAATTAATGAAGGTTTTTAACGATCGTTACAGTCGATACATATAAAATGGTAACATCTATAATGTTATATACTTGAATTGACCGAAAAAAATTTAAACGTCATTTTAAAAAATAGTATAATTTGATCATTTATTTTTATATTAATCCTTATTTTTAATGCGAGTTATCCCTTTATAAAATACAATGTACTTTTTCGCTATATCCAACCATTGTTGGATATAAGAAGGATTTAAATTCTAAAGCCAAAAAAGGGTCGACAATATGGAGATAAAAAGGTGATTTGACCTAAATATCACCCTATAAACCTAATATGCCCTAAACAATACCTTTTGATCAATATTTCCCTAATTAACACACTTTCGTTTGAGGTGGCACTAAAGCGCGCTCCCGGTAACGCGCTTTAGCGGGATTTACTTATGTGGACATAAGACGCATTTCCAGGGAAGCTCTTTCCAGCTGATGTGGCACCATGGTGGAAAAAGCGTTTCAGGGGGCGCGCCTTTGCTTTTATTTTTTTAATTAGGATAAAGATTTAGGGTTTACACTTTAGAGTTATTATAAATTAGTAATTTATTACATAAAGTGTTCCGGTTATGATTTAAGAATTGTCGAAGGTATTTTTTAATTTTGTATTTAAGGTGGAGTGAATTTAAATAAAAGTGTTACATGTTTCGTTAATATGAAAGTGGTGAAGGATTTTGTAGGTCAAAGGTTCATTAAGGTTGTGTAGTTAAAGTGCTTTAAGGTAAGGTTCGATTAAATTAAAAATGTTAATTACTTGAAGTAAGAGGTAAGTGGAAAATTTAGGTAGAAAATATACATACATTGAGAAATTATAGAAAATGCAATTATATTTAAATATTATAAACAAAGACATTCATTGAAATAAAAAATGCAATTACATAAGGGTTAACGGTTAAGTGATGATAACAGAGCTGCACATTTTTTCTATTGTGCCCGATGTTTCTGCAATGCCCACATCTTTTTTGTTCTGTTGACCTCTCCCGAATATCCATATCACAATGTATTCGAGTGGATTTTGGACAACATAAGTCCTTCAATAGCAACAGATCTGGTACAATTGTAAGCCAAGTTTGAATCTCATATGGCTATCTTTCGTTACCTATGGGCGGAAACTCAAATTCATATACCTTGAATAGTTGTGAAAGTTGGTATACGAGATCAACATAATTTTTGTAGTCTAAATACGAATGTGAGCAAAAGCTGCTATGACATGAGATCATATATATTTGAGTGCTTGAAAGAAACCACAATCACACCACCTCTCTTGCAGATTAACTCTGAAAGAGTTAGCTTCAATCCCTTGAAGAGGACATGACATTTCGGTTACACGAAATAATTCACGGGTGCGAGAAAAATTAGTAAAATTTGTAACAAACATCCCATTTGATGTATCCATTTTTTCCTGTAAATCAGCTACTAGTCTTGGGTGATAAATATGGCTGTTCTGCATCCAAGTAAGAGCTTGTCCACTGAGCTTTGCAAATAGTTGACCCAAACGAAAATAAGTTGTTTTGACCAACGTCGTGACTGGTAAATGACGCGTTCCCTTTAAGGTTGAATTGATTGCTTCAGCCAAGTTGGTTGTCTTATGACTATAGCGATACTCTCGTCATAAGCATTTGTCCACATTTCTTTGTTGATGTTCATAACGTACTCGCACCCCTTCTTATTTTTGTCAAACAATTTTTGTAGCATATACTCAAACCTTTGAGGTAAGAGTTCGTAACGTAAGCCATAAGAAATATGTAATAGTTAATATGAAGTATAAATAAGTAATATGAAAATGATTGAAAAATGGAAAAAAGTAACATATCCATGCGCACGACGAACTGACGTTCATCATTCTTCTTGTATTTTCTATAATAGTTTGCAGCAATATGGCAGACACAATAACGATGTTGAATATGTGGAGGTTTCCACATTGGACCCAAAGAGTCCATTGCAGCTTTTATCCCGACTCCTCGATCTGAAATGATGCATACGCATTCCCTTGTGACAACATGTAAACATGAATTTTTAAGAAAAAAAGCCCAAGACTCAGTGTCTTCTCCTTGAACGAGGGCAAACACAACAAGAAGAATATTGTGGTTACCATCTTGGACCACAACCAATAATAAAACATGCTTGTATTTTCCATACAAGAAAGTACCATAAATTTGGACAATTGGTTTACAGTACTTCATTGCATTAATACACTAAGGGTAAGTCCAAAAGACACGGTAGAATTGGCAGCGATCGCGAACCACTCGATCATTCACATATGATGTTGAGTTTCGAACTCAACAATTGTCCCGGGATTAAGTCTTTGCATAAATTGAAACCAACTGGGCAGCTCATTGTAAGAGGAATCCCATTCGCCACGAAGTTTGAAAAATGACATTCTGTTTTACCTTCTAAGTTTTTTTATAGGAGATGGTGTACCCATATTATGATTGTATAGCAGAAATCAACACTGCAATAGCTATATGAGAGCTTTGCTTCACAATGGGCATGATAGCTTGGAAAATAATGTTGGAGTCCAAGTTGGGATGGTCCTGGTTTATACCACTTGCGTAACACGTATGAGGACTGTTGTATATGGTTAGTTCCCATAAGTTGTTCTTCATCTTTCTATTTGATACATGAACCATCCACGTATATCCGTTGTCACGTTGGAAAAAATAATAAGCATATTTATCCGTGGTAGATTGATCAACTCGGGAGTGAACTGAGTTACGAATATTGTAACTCTTTATTGCCATCTTTACTTCTTCTTTTGATGGGAACTCAATTACAATATGTAAATCACCGTCATTGACTGATGACTGAAGTCTATAGGTTCAAATATTAGGGAAATATGAAATTCAGGCTCGTACATTGCATCATAATCAACCCCATAAATATGTGCATGAAGTTCGCTTGGTGTTGTATTTATGGGAACATCATCATCATCAAAGTGTACGTTAAATTGTGGTGAGTCAGGTTCAATGAATAATCCCGTTTCAGCACCATTTGCACCTGGCTCACGAAGAGGTTCTTCTAGTGGAGATGAGGGTTCCATAGATAATCCAATGTTGAGGTCAAAGAAGTTGCCACTTGCGTGTTCTCCTCTTGAACTTGAAGTCATTGTGGACTGCTGTCTCGATGGAATTTCCATATGTAAGTCAAAAACAGTGGCAGATGAATGTCTGCCCCTTGAAGTAGAAAAAATGTTGCCATATGGATTATTGGTGAAGCCACGTGGGTTGAGATCATAAGCAGTTGCTGATGAATGACTTCCTATTGAACTTGATGACATGGCATCTGGCTTTGAATTTGCCATTAATGATATGAAATCATTACAGATCAGTTGAATTGGGCTATCAACTTGATCAATTTGATACGCAATGCCAAAGTGAGAGGAATATGAGAGACCACTAGAAGAACAAACCTCCATAAAAGTGGCATACATTTCAATAAGATATTGTGAACTTCCCATATGAGCATCAGCTATCATAGTAACATCATCATCGTTAGAAAGCTGAAATGATGTATATATGAATAGAAAAAGTTCAGTAGGAAATCTATACTGAAGTGAATATAGTCTTCTCCTACATGCTACGCGAATTTTTAACGAAAGTTTTGTGATTAAATCCTCAAGAGTGATGTTTCTCTTCAAGGTTAAGGGGATATAATGATATGATTAAAAAACAATCCCCTCTTCAGATTCCTAAATTTCCCCATCATAGTAAACAACAGCAGAAAGACGATTCATTTTTAAAGAATAGAGGTTGAGAGTTTTGAGAATTTTAGAGTATGAGATTTTGAAAGGTTGGAAGGAGATGCATGTTTTGAAAGTTTAGAATATGCTGCATTTAATAATGTTTAAACTGGGCACTATTCACGTGAAAGCGTGTTTCAGAGGACGCGCCTTCCCTTTTTTTGTCAGAGAATAGGTTATAATTGCCTATTATGTGTCATGTCCCCCGACGGGGCACTATTTATATCAGTACTTATAATGTTTGAGGGGACGTAACAATATGGTTAAATCTCATTTCAGGGGGTGTGCCTTCCCTTTTTTTTATCAGATAATTGGTTATAATTGCCCTATTATGTGTCATGTCCCCCGGTGGGACACTATTCATGTCAGTACCTATAATGTTTGAGGAGACGTAACAATGTGGTTAAAGCGTATTTCAGGGGGTGCCTTTCCTTTTCTTGTTAGAAAATAGGTTATAATTGCCCTATTATGTGTCATGTCCCCCGACGGGGCACTATTCATGTCAGTACCTATGTTTGAGGGGATGCAACAATGTGGTTAAAGTGCATTTTAGGGGGCGCATATTCCCTTTTTTGTTAGAAAATAGGTTACATGCCCAACTCGCAGGGTTTTATGACACCCCATGGAGGTGCATATACGACTATGCTTAATGATCTAACATATTTTTCATATGCATCTTATTTGGCTAAAACGTAACAATGTGCCCCGCCGGGGGACATGACACATAATAGGGCAATTATAACCTATTTTCTGACAAA